AGAAGCCACTGTTTAACAAGTACTAAAAGAAAAACAGAAAATTAAAAAGAATATTCTACAATTTAGTGTTTTTAAGTCATGTATTTCTCTCTGTTCAAATTATGGATTTGTTTCCGTTCTCATCTATTAATAATTTTAGAAGAGACAGTAGGCTCTAGATTTTCAATTTATTGTCTTCTCTTTTTCTCTACAGCTAGTCCCTTAACGCTTTCTCGTGGGTCTTATTTTCTAAACTCATCATCATTTCTGCTCTCACTTCTGAATTCTAATGTTATTAACTTGCCCCTTAAAAATGTGGCTATCAGCAAAGAAAATAAATACCACCTAAACTCTTTCAATGGCATATATTTAGTTTTTAGATTGGTTAAAGTGATTCCCTGCTAGTCTAGTGAGTGAATTTGCATAATAATAAGCAATCAGTAAATGGCATAGTCCAACTCAGCTATTCTTTATAAGCATTTCTATTCATCGCTCTATTTTTTAAATGCCTCATAATCACTTTTGTTTGATATTATTCATAACAAAACTGAGAAATAGGTCAATATTAAACTCACAGGAATCTAAGCTTCTCAAAGATTCTATATAATTAAGCTTTTATATCCCTCCAAGGAAGAAAAAAAATGGTAGTAGTGTCACTTCAAAAGGTCAAACAGAAGTGATGGAGCATTCCTAAGGAACCACAAGAGATAGTACTGATCACAGAGAACTTTAGAATGCATTTCATCTGATAGCAATGGGATAAAATAAGTGTTGATCCCAAACCAGGAGCCCTCAAGCCATTTATATTCAGATTCAGATTACAAGAAGAAATACCAGAACAAATTCCATACTGTTTCCTTTCTAGTTAAAATGACTAGGCTTTTCCATCTCAGTCAAAATTCCCACTAATTCTTCAAATATTTCTCCTGCTACCTGGTTTGAATTAGGCTCTTAGCATCCATTCTCCTAACTATGATCCAGGCTTAAATCTCTGTCACTTCTTCACCTAAGACTGACTTAATTTAATCACTTACACATATATGAAATATGCCACAATTTGGCTTCTAAAACATTTCTTTATCTGGCTGCCTTCTTTTTTTCTGCTTGCATAATTGTTCTTCCACAAACTCCTTTCTAGCCACCTTTTCCTAATGGGTGATTATATTTAGCATGTATATCCTGGGCAGCACACCTTCTGCTCTGAAATCTTATAAATGTCTCTCTCACCAACTCACATCATTCTTCACAGCTGACATAAGTATCTCCAATACCTACTAGGATGTCCAATGGATATTGCAAAAGGCACTGTAAACCTTATCTATTGAAACTCCTTATCCAAATGTTTCTCACTCTGAATCTTGACAAATGCAATCACCATCCACTCAGGCAACCAAGTGAAAAATCTTGGAGTCACTCTAGAATGTTCTCTGTCTTACTTCCCACATCCAATAAACCTTTATGAATTTCTTCAAAATATTGACAAACTATTGTATTCCAGATGGTAAGCCAAATACTAAGCATACTGCATTAAGCAAGGTAAACATTATTTCTGTGCTCTTAGAATGTAAACCCTAATTGGATATGGCCAGGTAGAGGTTATTCATATTATATTCTAATGTGTATGGCCATCACTAGGAGTTTCGCTATATATAATCTATGGACTTATAAATAATGGTGCTTCAAATAAAACATCAGAAGTATAAAAGTAACATGTTCCATTTGTTTTTATATCTGCTTTTCATTCCCATTTCCATTTATTTGACTTTAAATGTTATTATTTTTCTCTTGGGTTGCTAAGAGTAGCTCTCTAACCAAATTTATTTCCCCTTCCCTGAGTTCCTTTCTTATTAATTCACTACCACAATTATTGCCAGAATAATTTTTCTCAGATTCCAAGATGACTACAAGATGATCATACTTAACTCTACCTATTGATCATAATCCAAAGTCTTAAAGGGGCCTAAATCCTTTAATGATGCAGCCTCTTTGTACTTAGTCATATTGCACATCCTCTTCTCCTGTGGCCATTCTAAGCTTCTTGCAAATCTCCTAGCCAAGCAGGTGTTCTCATAGATGAATGCCTCAAAACACACTTAACCCTCCACCATTAATAATCTTTATCCAAGCAATTCCCACTTGCCCTTCTATATTCATCTCTGGTACCACTCTCTCCCCCCAGTCATCCTTAAGAAAAAGAACAACAATAACAAAGTATTGGCACAAGGCTATTTATACACTATGTTTAATATAATAGAAGGAAAAGCATTAGTATTAATGTTTATTTTTATATTTCTGAGAAAAGAATATAATTTGTGTCTTGTTTCATACTTTTTCCCTGTCTTACTAGAAATTTGTCAACTTTATTAAACTTTTCAAAGAGAAAAAAAATCTGTTCTACAAAACAAAAAAAGAATCAGTATGGTCCCTTGGGTTCCCCACTTTCGTTCTCTCATTTCACCCTGTCCATATGACATTGTATCACTTAAAGAATCAGACCATAATCAACCGGGCATGATGGCAACACACCCATAATCCCAGCAGCTTGGGAGGCTGAGGCAGGAGGATCTCAAGTTCAAAGCCGGTTTCAGCAAAGGTAGGTGCTAAGCAACTTAATGAGACCCTGTCTCTAAACAAAATACAAAATAGGGCTGGGATGTGGCTCAGTGGTTGAGTACCCCTGAGTTTAATCCCTGGTATATAAATATTTATATATTAGACTTTAAGCATAAATTCAGCTCCCTTTTTTGCTATACCAGGAGCTGTTGAAGGGCAAGGACCCTTCTTCACTCATTTGCATATTTTTGCTTCCTACAGTAGTATCTTACAAGTATAACTCCTCAATAAATATTTGGCAAATGAATTAATTGGTGGCAAATAGTTTGTCTCATGTTGTAATGGAAGGTTCTTCCCCACATGCCATGATATGAAGTCATACACAGATTGAAATGGCCAATGGCTCTCTAGCCTAAGACCAAGATTCTTTCCTGTCTGCATTAAAGGATCTTCACATTATCTAGCAAGAGATGGCTGAAAAATAATGGTAATCTCACATTCCCTTCAAGTTCAAGACTCATTTCCTCTCGAAGCACATTTTGACTATTACATCAATAGAAATAATATTTTTTTTTACTTGAACTCTTATGTTTTAACCTAGGAAAGAATATTTGCCTATACTTGCAGTAAAAAGCTTTTCTATGCATATGTATCCTCTTCCCCAAAACTGTATATAGTTAAGTGTCTTATAAATAAAGACTGATATTTCTGTGAGCTGTCTCTGCTACCTATACCACTGCTTTGAGTATGCCAGGTTTATTTTATTAATTGTATAACTGTAAGGTCTAATGATGTTTTAATACAGATATCCAGAGTTAAATGAGTATAAGTTCCATTATTTTATACCCTCATCTTATTTTATTTCTCAGCATTGTTAACTAGATTGACCAACATCTCCTTGAAAGGTGAACTTTGTTGGCTTTTATATACTGTACACCCTTCTGATTCTTCTTAGGCTCACTGCTTCTTCTCTGTTGGCTGTTTGGTTAATAATTGGTAACTGATGCTACCTCAAAAGAGTATCTCCTTCGGTGCTAGTCCTTTGCTTATTTTACCCTCAGATAATAGCCCCAGCAATCTGTGTTTCATAACTCTATTTTAATAGAGCCAAAAGGTAATTTCATTCTGGTTAATGTGTGCAGGAACATGCTTTAATGAGCATAGTTCCCCAGATAACATTGAACAAGGGGAGAAAGAAGAGAAGATCAAACCACTGGATAATTTTAGGGAAAAAAAATTGAACAAGCACATGGCATAAGAAGGATGTTTCATGATTCTTTAATCCTTGTAAAGATAGAGTAATGTGGTGGGCGGGAAAACGTTTAGGATGATTTTGTTCTGTAAAATGTATGCAGTGATTCAGATCATGTTAGCAAATATAAAATCATTTGTGCTTGTGTGATCCGGCTTCAAACCACTGAGGACATTTGTGCAATTTACCACAGCAAAAGTTGTAGCAGCCTCCCGCAGGCAGAAGAGCTTAAGTGTCTGGTGATGTCTAGTGACTTGCTTAAAAGAAGATGAAACGACACACCCTCAGGCAAGGAGACGATTTAAATAGAGCCAATTTAGGAAGCATAGTGCCTCAGCAAATTCAGAAATTAATCCAGATTAAGATGTTTCATTTTTAGGAATGCATGTCAGAAACCAGTCTACAACTCCATCTTACAGGTAGAGGCAAGAGAAGGACATAAAAATGTACATTGCATAAAAATCCTCCTGTGTCCCTATAGTACATCTTCAAAAGTTACACAGAAAATTCACCAGCCTCAGCAATTTCAAAATTGTATACATTTAAGCTTAATTTTTAAAAGTAAAGCATTTGAGAATTGGTGGGTGGTTGTCACGAAGTCTAATGCAAAGAATCTAGAAAATTTAGATAAAATGCCTGAAACATGTTTCTGACTTTTGTGTAATATAATTTATGATGAATCACTTCTTTAAGTGGGTATTTAATCCACAGATTTCATCCAGGAAACTGACACTAAATAGTTCTCTGGTGCCAGAAAGTAAATTACTGACTACAGTCCCCAGGTCTCTAAAGCAAACTGGAGGATTTAATTGAAATGTTATTGCTACACACACCTATCCAATCTAGGGAAACAAGATAGTGATCTTTTTATAGTTGAAAATTGTGTACTGAGACTGAAACTTTCACACCTGAGCTCTATAAATTCCCAGAGACAGATCCATAAGTAGATTATATAAATGAGATACATGAAATCAGGCAATTCTGTCAAAAAATACCAAGAGTTTTGAGACATGATCCAATTTACTCATCGTTTTTACTGAAATCATATTTTATGGACACACAATATGCATGATTATAAGATTCTTGGTAACATATTTTGGGGATTTGCTTTAAATATTTTATTGGCCACAATCGTTATCTCCAGCACATACAGATGCTTCTTTGTGACCTTCATGACCAACTTAAAAATTCTCTGGAAATTGTAACATGACCTTACCTTGCTTCCATTTTCTCTCGCTTCTCGTTCCATCTTGAGGTCAGAAATTAGAAGATTCTTATATTTGCTTTTCCCATTACTGCTGTGATCATCTATTCTGTATTCCGAAGTCAGCTGTGCAGAGAGGGGACTGTCACTCAGATTCAGTGGCTGTTCATCCTGTTCCACCCCAGTCTTGCCATCACTGTTGGAGTCTCCCATCTCCCTGCTGTGTGTTCCCCCTGAAGCAATTGAACTGTGCCCCAGAGTCTCATTGCCATTAAAGCTCTCTGCAGCAGAATCATCTGTTGGAAAGAAAAATTTATATTTTTATTTTAATTAATATGCTCTCCTTTTCGACTTCAACTTGCATTTGCTGAGTTCCTATTGTGTGTGACATTGTGCCAACTAATTTTATATATAATATGTAATTTAACCTAAACAGTAACCTTGCAATGCAGCTATTGTTATTTTTAATCTAACAGGCACATCAAAGCACAAGACATAAAATAATATGAAGAAGATAAAATAAACAGTTAAATACCAAATGTCATCACAAAGTAAATTTAAACAAAGAATAAAATAAATTCTCAATTACTTTGCAAATAGATTTTATTTCCCCAGTGAGAATATCCAGATTTACCAAGAAGTCTCTAATGAAAAGCATTACCTATCACTGGTTAATGGAGATGAACATTGGTACAACCTTTATGAGTTTTAATATGCATCTAAAACACTAGAAGTGCTCATAAACTTTGCTATGGTCATTACACTTCTGAGATTTTTAAACCTAAGAAGCCTAATCATTATGTACGTCTCTGAATAAGTTAAAAAAAATACACTTCACATCAGTGTTAATTTGAGTAGCAAAAATTTGGAGGTGACATAAAGCAACAAAAATAGAATACTGGATTAATAAATGTTGGAATGGTTCGAATATTATGCAGTCACTCAATAGTCCAATTTTAGATAAAGAAAATGTGAATCAGAAAGTACTGGCTAGAAAACTTTAGATAGTGTAGCCAATATGATCCAAATTTCTGAAAACAAAACACATAGACCAAGTTTACATAAAACAATATTCTGTTTTCTTAATTAATTCGTCTTTACCTATATGATGAGAATTTGCTACTAATTATAAGGAATTATGATGGACAGAGGTGTTCAATTGTTTTCTTTAAAGGCTATTAAGGAAACTATATGAATGTAAGCAAACAAGAGGCATAATATTCACTACTTTTGATTTTCTTGTCTGATTCCTGAATATTATCAAGTATTCATTATATTTGTGGGTGGAATAAAATACTTTGTACCTTAAAATAAATTATATTCATGGAAATATTTAAATTCTAAAGGAGTACTATATCTCCTGTTCATCCATGTTTTCCACAAACATTTCTTAAGGGCCTATCCTGTGGGTTCAAAAATTTGGCCTCTACAGACTCTGCCTCAATGAGTTTACAGATAATTTTAAAAAAATAGAGAATTAAACATGCAATTCAAATGCAGAGCAAAAAGGCTATAATCCAGTACAAGGAATAAGACAGCAGGCTTTCTACAGAAGGTGATGTCAGTCAAATTCCACAGGATGAGTGAGCCATGAGCTGCTGAAGTCTGGGGAGAGCATTCCCTATAGAAGTGTCAGCTTTGCAAAGTCTCAGATGGAAAGACACACAGGGCAGGTGAGAAGAAGGATGAAAGCAAGAGCACCAAGGAGAAAAATGAGGGGAGATAAATCTAACAGGATGAGAGCACCCCAGGAAGTGTTTTGTATATCAAAGGGCTTGGAGTTGATTCTGAGAACAAACAGAAGCAATTTTAATTTTATTGTGAGAAGTGACGTGGAAGAAAATGATATTTTAGATGTCATATAAGTTGGCATCTTTGAAAGCTCAAACTAAAGTAGTGCCAATATAGAAGAAGGGACAACCACAGAGAGTTACAAACAAAACAGGTAAGAATGGACACAGGAGAGGCCAGGGCCCAGGATGAAGGTTCAGGGCTTTAATAAGGAATTAAAACACAGGGCATTATGTTTAAATTTAATTTTCAGAACAGTATTTAAAAATGAATTTTAAAACTATTTTCTAAAAAAGAGTACAAACATATTCCGATATCACATTCTACTCAATTATTCTTTTTATATACCAATTCAAAAAAGTTTATGGCCAGATGCGATGGCCCACTCCTTTCACCCCAGCAACTCTGGAGGAAAATTAGAGGCAAATCTCAGCTATGTAAGGAGGCTCTAAGCAATTTAGCAAGACTCAGTCTCAAAATAAAAAATAAAAAGGACTGGGGACATAGCTCAGTGGTAAAATACCCCTAGGCTCAATCCCCATCCTCCTGCCCAATAAAAGAATTCATACATGCAGAATATATGCAAGATAATATAGGAAACTACTCATAAGTAATGACACAGCAGTTTTTATACTATTAATTTGGGAAATAAAAAAAATAAGCTTTTAATGATAAAATGTCCAGAGCTTTGATGTACAGAATTAGGGGGAGGATTTGTATAATTTAGAAAATTGCTCGTGTCTCTTTATTTGAATTGAAGTCCTTATGCTAATGTATAACAGGTTAATTCTGATTTTCAAAGTTTTTTTCTTTTTAAGAAAGTCCAAAAAAATCATAATGGACATATTCAAATATAGTTCAATTACTTGTATTTAATTTATGAAGGAAAAATATGATTTAGCATTTGTGTACTAGAATCCTTTTAAAAACGGTACTAAACACTTAACATAAAAAAGCCTTAGCAATAATGAATAAATAACCCTAAATAATTAAAAATTAAATACACATTAACATAAAAATTCAATTTCTTTTATAGTTAAAAATTAAACATGCCTTATCTATTTCTTTAATCTAAAATCACCACATATATCTCATAAAACTATATCATTTACTCATTTTTAGGTAAGATAAACATCATTTATCATGAGAGACTTTAATAAATGTCATTTAATTATAGCTTCAGTATAAAATATAAACAATAAAAGAGAAATATTTTTAGATGGAGTAGTTCACTCCAGATGTTACCAAGGTAACCAAATTCAAGAGCTTTACATATTTCTTTCCTGAATAAATGAGTATGTTTTGTAAAGAACAAATGACTGATTTATATTCATTTGTATCAAATACACGTTCACCAATTTTGTAATTTAAGTGGTTAAAAAAAAATAATGCCTCATGGTACTGTTCCATAAATCAAAATTTAAAACAAAGTTTTTGATGTCTTTAATTTAAAAAATTCAGACAAGAACAGAGAGCGAATAGTAAGCTGAGGATAAATAAGCAATTTAATATTGTTGAGCTTCATGTAATCACATTGAAGATTCTTGTTCTCTCTTCTTTAAAGGTACTTATTTAGAAATTAAAATCACAGACTTCAGACTCCTGTTTATGGGAACCAATTCACATCAGTTCACTGCCTGAAAGGGGTAATCTGCTTCCTTACCCAACATGGTCTGCTCCATCCTGAGTGGCTGCTGGCGTGTGGGAACCACCCGCTACGTAGTGTCGTGTGTAGGCTGTGGGGATGGCCTTCAGGTTCACAGGCCCTGGTGAAGGTTCTTCTCTCAAGGATTCAGCCTGGGTACCATAGCATTTGAACCAAAGACTCTGTATTTGAGTCCCAAGGGAAAACAGCACCTGGAGCTTTGGAAAATAAGAGAGCCCAGGGTACCTAGCAACAGAGGAGAATGTGGAATGTGATGACAGGGCGGTGTGGAATCTAGTGACATCGGGAGGGTAGTTGGATGTTCTGTGGTCACTTTTAATGGGACAGATCTAGGGTGGTGGAAACCTTGCCAAGTTCACTTGACTAAAGCTCTTGTCTAAGAAAGTCCAGTAACACTGAGTGGCAGACTCTTCGTTTTATTCTTTCTCCATTCCTACTGCCCACTTCCTCAATCAGGAGACACCTTAGAAATACGGTTTAAGTTGTTTTGAACGTCCCAACCAGTGTTTTATATGACGATAGTTTTAAATGCACCAGATTCAGTGGGTTGTTAGTTTTATATAAAGAATTAACTGTAACCGTCTCCTATAACACGTGTGAGTGTGTGTGTGTGTGTGAATCTCTCAAAGCCCCTGACCTACTTTCTTATACAGTCATTTTCAGTAGTTCTTCATTATGGCCTTTAGGCCAAGAGCCTTGGGCAAAAGGAACAGGGAAAAAATACATACATACATATATATATATATCTCATCTTCATTTTAAGATTAGTACTTGGAAGTTCAGTCCTAAAATCCAGGTCAGATATCACAGAGTCCAAAAATCTTTTTACCATTTTTCCTCAAATGCACTATAGTCTTTTACCACTAGGTCCTTTGATGCACCCTTAGAAAATTTCCTTTTCATATCTTAACATAAAACTAACTCTAAACTCAAAATATAGATGGGAAAAACCCTGCTCCGAAAGAGTAGTGCCTTAATATAAAAACATAGAAAGTTAAAAAATTTTTCAAACATCTATTTGCAAAATAAGGATTTTAGTTGTAACTCCCTTTTATGCTTCCTGGCTTCTGTTCTATGCCTTCTCCTAGTTATAGGATCTGTTATTGTAAAAAATGAAGCCCAGCATGGTGGTGTGTTCCTGTAATCCCAGCAGCTCCCAAAACTGAGGTAGAAGGATTACAAATTCAAAGCCAGCCTTGGCAATTTAGTGAGGTCCTAAGCAATTTAGCGAAAACCTGTCTCAAAAAATAAAAACAGTTTAGTGGTTAAGCACTCCTGGGTTCAACCCTCACCAATCCCCCAAAACGGGGGGTGGGGGGCCCTTCTAATATATTGTGAGATCGCACCGTACATCTTACACTATAACTTCCTCTATGCTACAATACAAACCAGGTAATCTGATCTGATTTGATTCTCTCTAGCACTTTCTAGTCTGGATCCTAGGCACATTCTCACTCCCTGAATCATTTCTAGCTTAAGGCCTTTTGGTCCATGTGTACTTGCTACCTAGAAGTTCATTCTTCATTTTTCTAATTTTCTTTCTTCAAAAACTTGTGATGACATGTCCATTCTTTTTCTATTTTACTTATCCTCTAAAATATATCTTTTTTATTTAATTATCCAGTCCTGGTCTCAGTATTATCTTCAGTTATCTTCTGGGCAAAAACCTCAATTCTGACTACAAAAGTTCTACACTTGCAAGGCCTCAATGTTACAATAATTAAAACTTCAATCCCCCATTTTTATTTGCAAGATCATATGCTACTTAGCGATGTAATCTTAAATATGTACAAATTGCAAAGTCAGAACATTCACGCCAAAGACATATGCACTGATATG